ATATGCAGAAGAAGATTTCCTAGAGTCCCTGCCGAAAAGGTTGATACTTGGTTTAATAACTCTCTTCTGCTCTATAGCATCTATGCTTGTAGCATTTAGTGCAACCTTTTTCATTGTGCTTGGCCAGCGGTTGGCATGGATTGTTGGACCTATTGCTCTTTTTTCTAGCATACCTATAACTTTGTTTGCATTTTTGCATTTTCATCTTCTGTCTGATATGATACATTCCTCGTACGGGTCTGGCATTTTTGTGCGAAGAAAGGCAGATTTGCTTTATTAACTCAGCTCAAGACTCTTCCAACTTTTTATGATCAGAGTAAACTACTCCCATTTCATTTTGGACACGATGACGATAGAGGTAAAGATTCTTCCACTTCCTGTTCCTCTGCGAGATCCATTTGGAGCCTGAGATATGAGATGGACGTTAAGCCCGCAATGGCAAAGGTCTTGTTAGGTACATATGGGTTTTACAATCAAGTACATGATAAATCTGGGTTCCAGATTTTACCAGAATGTGATAAACAGGAGAGTTTTGTTACCAATCCTCCTATACGTAAGGATTACTATTGTATATGTAGATATTCCAAAATGTATCATATAATTTAGGATACACTATAGTTTTCCCCTTTTGGGATTTAATTTTAATTTAGTTTAAGTAAAATAGTTTTTTTGTATGACCATTCAATATTTGTGGTTTGATTTTATAATTTTGTATGAATCATTTGTCCTTTAGGCTCTTACAATTGCCTTCTTCTTCTTCTTTTTTAACGTCTAACATGATGGTCTATATTTATTAAAAAATCAAATTAGTAAAAGTGCATTTAACTTGAGTTTTATCATTTCTTTCTCATTAAAATTTGATAAATTTTTTAATATATTTTACCAAAATTTGATATGAATTTTATAATATCTTTTCTTTATTCTAAATAAGGAAATATTTTCTAATTTTATTTTTTAAATTTATATAATTCATGCACAAAACTTTATAAGTTTAGTTTGTAACACCCAAAATTTTTATTTTATTTTATTTTGTTTTTATTTTTAATTTTATTTTAATAATTAATTCATAAGGTTTTTATTTTATTTAATTTAATTTAATAGAAATAAAAATAATAATAATAATAAGATTGGGTAAAATTATTTTTGGGATTTAATTGAAATTGATTTTGAAAAAAATGAGAGAAAATTTAGATTATGGGTATATTTTTGAAAAGAAAATCGAAAATCGGGGGTCAAAACGCAATTTAAAAAAATAGCACCACGTCAGCAGCCCCGGCCAACCAGGACACGCTGCGTGGCAGGGACGCTGACGTGGGAAGCCATGTGGGATGAAGACACGTGGGCGATCCGTGTGCGCGCAATCGGACGGTTCAGATTCGTTCTCGCGTGCACGAATGACCCATATTTGATCAAGCACGGACGGCCCAGATCGCATTGTAATGGATGACCCAGATTTATTTCTAATTTAATCGCGATTGGACGACCCATATTAAATTATGATAGACGACTCAGATTAAAAGGGGAAGGTTATAAATAATCGCATTCACACCCAACCCCAAACCCTAGCCGCTAGAACCCTCGCCGGAGAAGACGACCCAGCCACTGGAGGAACCAGTCGCCGCCACCCGCCACCGCACCGGAGGATTTTTTGGCCGCCAAACGAGGTAAGATTTATCCTATTAGCTCGTTTTTCGATGCTGAACCTCCCTGTGGCCAAATCGGAGCCAAACCACCGGCCGATTGGCTGAAAAACACCGCCGAAGTCTAGCGGCACCGCTGCGGGTTTCTTCAGTTTTTGCCTCCGATGAGACCCTTCCCGGTTCTCGTTCGATGTAATTTTTATACCACTGTGACCACCGTCCTTTTTTCTACAGGTTGACCAGAGCAAAACACCAAATCGCAACTCGCGTCGGAGGAGCCGCCGTACCCGAGAGCTTCGCAGCTGGTAAGTCTTGGTTTTCTGGAACTTTTTGGCCCACCGAGAGCCCTAGGGTGTTTTATCACAGGAACCAATGCAAGTTTGGCTGAATTCGGCCGAAAACAGCCAACCCGAGGTGGATGGTCGCCGTGGACGGCGACGCCGTCGCCGGAGCATGACAGAGCTGCCGTGCTGGAATTCTGAAATTGGCCGAAAGGGCATTGGGTCTGATTTGAAATTTTTTGGGGACATGTGTACGTACCGGAAGTGTATTTCAGTTTCCGGAGAAAAATTTAAGGAATTTAGGGACTGCCCGTAGGCGTAGTGAGAACCCGATTTCAGACTCCAAAACAAGTAAGGATCTCTCACTTTATTTTCTATCACGATATTAAAGTCTAATAAATGATAAAACAGGTCTGTTCTTGTTTGATTCATTTTACAGTTTTGAATACAGTATGGTGCCTGAAGTGTTTATTATATAGTTTCGTATGCATGAATCACGGTTTCATTTATTATGATTTGAATCATTGTAAACCCAATGTTGTGTTTCCTTATTTGGTGTTCATTACTGGTTTACGTATTTATGTTTGATTGGATAATTGAGATTAAAAAAAATAGAAAAAGGTATGTGAATTGATAAATGAATAATGTCGACAGCCTAACTAGATATCCTGGGAGATGGTGGACGGACCAGGTCCATAGGGAATCCTACCGAGAATGTGGTCTCTCATATCGGACGGGGTATGGAGACTTTATATGTTTTGGCGCCCATACCGGATGGGGTATGGGGACGGCCTGTTTCACTCTCATATCAGACAGGGTATTGAGGTTTATGGTTTTGGCGCCCATACCGGATGGAGTATGGGGACGGCCCTGGAATTAAGTTATTAATGTGAATGGTTCATGTGTAGCGGGGACCCCCTATGGATTCCTATAGATACTAGTAGGCTAATAAAAGAGGAAATTTGTTACCTGATGATTGAAATACAAAAGTATGATATGTATTATGTTACAGAGTATGCATGATCTTATGATTTTATGGTTTCTCATAAGTTATTTTCATGAATCTCACCGTGGTAAGGGGACAGTAAATATTTTTATTATTGATAAATGAGTTTGTTATAAATTATGCTCAATTTGTCGTTTTTATTTTCTACCAACATTTACTCCTGTGACAATGAGATAGTGTGATGTTTTTACTGGGTTAGTGTAGCTCATTCCTTACTTAACCATTTCACATAAGGAACACTTGGTTCCCGAGTCCGTTCTGCAGGAAGACGGCGAGTAAAAGCTTAAGAATTTATTATTTTTTCTTATAGCATTCATTTATAGTATTTGTTTTACTTAGTTTATTTTTTCATACGTTTAATTCGTTTTGGTTATTGTGTAAGGGGTGTTAGTCATAATTTATTTTATTTCACTTCCGAATTTAGAATAAATTTATATATTTCTTTTTAATTTCTGAGATCGTTACATAGTTAATAATAAAATGAACAAAAATAATAAAAATAGAGAATTAAAAAATCATTAATTTTTAAATGTGGTAAAAACTATTTTATTTATACTTTTGATTAATCTATAAAACATGTAAATTTTATATACTTTTAAATTTCTTTTATTATTAATTTATCGGGCAGTTCTAACTTATGAAATCATTCACAAAGAGACAGATTTTAATTTCTTTCTTCGGCTTTGTACCAAACTTGCAAGAGATGCCGTCAGCCCAAGTGTCACCTACCCAACGTGCATATTTTAAATGTTTTAATTAGTGATATCTTAAAGCAATTACTGATTAATGATAATATATATATATATATATATGTTCTAACCTAACGACTATTTGTTTTTTTTTTTTTTGAGAAAAAATGTCAACGCATTCTAATTCTTCGCTTAATGTATAAAATCATGATCCAAAAAATAAATGAAATTGTAGGTGAGGAATGTTTCAAAGTTCAATTGTTTAAATAACCATGTAAATTAAATAAAAGAAACCTTCACTAATTTTCTTAGAAGGTCTTCGAGAAACTTACAACGCAGTTGATTCACACCCCCAGAAACAATTAAAAAATATTCTAACAGAAGCTTCTTCATTGCTGCTTCCTTCTTCTCTTACATTTCTTATCTTTCAATTCTGCATTTATATACAGACACATATGCATTCGTGCTTCCATTAATTTGTATATATTGTCTTTGTTTCTTTTTCAGTTCTAATTAATCTTTGTAAGATTTTCACATATATACTTAATATATGTTTTCCATTGCTGTTTCAGCTGCTTTTTACGATAAACAGCTACTCATTAATTAGTTCCGTCTGGATCATTTGCCAGCGACGATATCCAGCTCTTCAGGTAATATTCTTTCATATTCTATATGTTTCTTGATTCATATATATATATATATACATATATATGTATGTATATGAATCTTAAGGTTTTCATGAAATCTTAAGGTGGTTGGCAGTTATATAACGTTAATTTCTTTAGTTTCTTTTCACATAAATCTAGCTCGCAAGTATGAAGCCAACTGAGACTTTCTCCACTTACAATTTTTCCTCAGCAGGCCGGTACTCATTACAGTCTGCTCGTCGCATAATATTCCTGGAGATTTGAAGACCTATTTTAAAACTTAAGCTTTTGAAAGTTTTCATCCAAAAATGTCTGCTGCCAATGGAGCATCTCGAGTTCTACCGCAACCGGTTCATGTCGTATCATCCCCTCTAGTTTCAGTGGTTCACTCTGGTGGGTATTCCTTTGTTGGCGTTTTTTTAGGTGAAAAAAATTTCAATTTCAATTAATTCAAGAATTTTAACAATTTACCTTTAAATATATTTACATATAAATTAATTTCTTCAAAATAAGTTGCGGTTAATAACAAAATAGTTAAAAAATAAATATATGTTAAATTTTTTGAAAAATAAATTTTCATTAATTATAAAAAATTTAAAAAATAAATATAAATTAAATTTATTAAAAGATAAATTTAAATTTAATTAATTTTAAATTAATAAATAAAATAAATTATAATTTTTACATTAATCTTTATTACTCTTTGATTAGATAGTAAAATTTACAAAATAATCATTACTTTGTCAAAAAATTAAAAAAAAAAAAAATTTAAACATTTCCAAGTCTATGAACTTATCTTAATTATTTTCAGTATCTAATAGTTTTTTTTTGTTACACGAAAAAAATACATATTACAGGAGAAATACGTGTGTTTGGTCTCACGAGACACGCTCCTTTATATCTTGCTGCTCTTAAAGGCGACTGGAAAACTGCTGAAGCATACCTGTTTCGAAACCCGGAAGCAGCTTCTGCAAAGATTACAAGAGGTTTAGAAACTGCTCTTCACATTGCAGCTGGTGCAAGACATACCAAATTCGTGGAAAATCTGGTTAGAAAGATGACACAAAGCGATTTGGCTGAGAAGAACCGAGCAGGCAATACAGCTCTTTGCTTTGCAGTTGCTTCTGGGGTGAAAGAGATTGCAGAGGCAATGGTGAAAAAGAATGCAAACTTGCCTTTCATTAGAGGAAATCAAGATGCAACACCTCTCTACATGGCTACTTTGTTAGGCCACAAAGATATGGTGTGGTATCTTTACTCTATCACTCATGAGTATATAAACGATGAACAACGTATTCAACTTCTTGTTGCAGCCATCACTTCGGATTTATTTGGTAAACATATTTAATGATAAATTATTAAATTAGTTTTTGAATTTAGTATTTATTACAATTTAATTTTTAATTTCTTTCTATTATATTTTAATTTTTGATATTTTTTATTTATTTTAAATGCTTAATTCTTTTTTATTTTTAATTAAAAAAGTTAAAATACTTATATAAAAAAACAGTTAAAAAAATAATTTTAACCAATTAATTAATTTAATAATAATACTAAATATATTTTTATTGTTATTAATTTAATTAAAAAATTATTTGTTAATTTATTTTTTAAAGGATATAAATGTGACATTCATTTTTAAACTTTTTTCACAAGAAGATAAAATGAAATTAAATATTTGAAAAAAATAGAAACTATTAAATAATAAAAAAGTATTATAAACCAAATTATAATAAGTTTTACACTTCAAGGATTAATTTATTGATTCGATATATATATATACATATATGTAACTCACTTGACAAGTAAAATATTTTGATCAAGATCTATATTTGCTTCAGATGTAGCCTTGGACATAATTAGACGCCACCCAGACACAGCCATTGCTACGGATGAGAAAGGAGAAACGGCACTTCATGCATTGGCTCGAAAGCCTTCTGTTTTCAACAGCAAAACTCAGTTGGGTATATGGAAGAGATTCATCTATCCATGTTAGTAATATTCACTTTAATCTTACATCGTATACATGCTCCAATTTCTTTTTCTTTTCTATCTGTTTCTGGGTAGGTTTATAGTAATCCAATTTAGCTTTGGACCACATAGATCTTTACGTGGAGCTGCCAAAAAATCCCCATTCTTCCTCAACTGCACCTCGACAATCAACCACAAACTCTTCTGGTTGTTTTTCATTCTCTCTCTTTTCCTACTTAACTTTATGTATATATATGTATACATAGTTATCTAAAATGTAGAGTTTTTCTTTCTTATGCAGTGACACGTTACATGAAAATTATATTCACACGAGTCATTAAATTTCTAGGTATAAAGTTAACCCATAAACTTGATTATATACCACTTGAATTTCCTTCATTTTCTGCAACTTTAATCTGTATGCATGTATTTACTACTTAGTGCCAGGTACAAAAAGTATCTACAAGACAAAGCTAATGCATAGCCAAGCTCTTGAGCTGACCAAAGAACTTTGGAGGTTTGTCTTGTTAGAAGATGAGACATATGTTCAAGAGTTAATCAGGTCTCCTTCAAGATTATTATTTACAGCTGCAGAGCTGGGGATTGTTGAGTTCATAGTGATTCTTATCCGCTCTTATCCTGATCTTATTTGGAAAGTTGATGATAAAAACCGAAGCATATTTCATATTGCAGTTATGCACCGCCAAGAAATGATTTTTAGTCTCATTTATGAAATTGGTGGTCTTAAGGATTTGATTGCAGCTTATAAAGATGCTGATGGTAACAACATGCTCCACTTTGCTGGAAAACTACCTCCTTTGGATCGAGCTAAAGCTGATTCCAGTGCAGCACTGCAATTGCGCAAAGAACTCCGCTGGTTCAAGGTGATCAATCCTACTCCTTAATTTTCTAATTAGAGACGGCTTCCTACATTCTAACAGCATGTGTGGTTCCCTTTAATAATTTCCTAATTATAATGTAAAAAGATTACTTGTTTCTAAAGTCTCTCAATTATGTTTACATTATTGATTTAAATCTTATTACATTGCAAAATTACTTGTTTCTAGAGTCTCTCAATTATGTTTACATTATTGATTTAAATCTTATTACATTGCAAAATTATTAAATTCCACCAAACCAAACATGTTGTAAATGTTGTTATGTAATTGCAGGAAGTTGAAAAGATTGTGCAACCTTCATTTAAGGACATGGTAAACAAAGAAGGGAAAACACCTCAGACCATATTTGCAGAAGAGCATAAATGTTTGGTAACAGAAGGTGAAAAATGGATGAGAAACACAGCATCTTCATGCATGGTTGTGGCTACACTGATTGCTACTGTGATGTTTGCTGCTGCTTTTACTGTACCCGGTGAGAATGATGAGACAGGAGTGGCAAACCATCTAACAGAGAAATCCTTCTTGGTCTTCATTATTTCAGATTCACTTTCTCTCTTCTCCTCCTCCATGTCGATTCTAATGTTCTTGTCAATCCTCACCTCACGCTATGCACAAGAAGATTTTCTTGATTCATTACCGAACAAACTGGTAATTGGCTTGGCTACTCTCTTTGTGTCTATTGCGACGATGATGATATCTTTCTGTGCCACTTTGTTTGTTATATTTGGGCATAAGTTTATGTGGGTGCCAATTCTTCTAACTTCTGCAGCTTGTGTCCCGGTTGCTTTGTTTGTTTTGCTACAATTTCCTCTTCTTCTTGAAACGATCACTCATGCCTATACGGATTCAAGTATTTTCTGCAAAAGGAACTATTTATTATACTGAACTTACATTGATCAAGACCATTACTATAAGAAAAGAGAAAATTGTAATCCTTAAATACCCCCTTAAACTATTTTTCTTCCGAAGTACTGTATTATTTCAATATGAAATGTTTTAATTGTACTCTTTGAATCTATTAAACTTGTTTTTTCACGATAAGTGTAGGTAATTTAGACTTAGTTAAACTTTAACTAAGAACAAGAAGAAGAAAGCATAAAAAGAACAAAAGAAAAATGTGAGAAGATATTTTTTTCATAGATTAATGATCTGCTTAAATACATGCATTTGCAATAGAAAAATGGAAATAAAAGCAACAAACTTCCTGAACTTATAGCTAGCTAGCAAATAACAGAAAATCAAAACAAAATTGCTTAAAGAAACCTAGAGTCACATTTGCAGACTTTAGGAATTCAAGTTTGCAGATCTTTAGGCATCCAACAGCAGATTTTTAAGCATTCAACAGAAGCGGCTGATGCATACATTTTCTAGAATGTATATATATTTGCATATATAGATATATGAGGGATAACTTAGTCTTTTTCAGTTTTTTTTTTCTTTTTTGGTTGTTATGACAGCTGGGTATGCCCTCCACCTTAACAACCAATTTTTCTCCTCTTCCACTTACTTGTTAGAATATTTTGTAACCTCTTTTGTCAAAACTGGTGTCTATATAATAGTACTACTCGTGTCCGAGAAAATTAAGAAAAATAGTGAAAGAAATTCTCCTCTTCACTTTATTCAAATTCTTCTTCCTTCATTTCTTCATGTATCAGAGTAATCCTAATCCAAAATCATCATTCAAATCACGCCAAATGGCCACGGATGAGCAGACCTCTTCTCCACCCGAAGTTCTTTCGAGTTCCTACCTTCCCATGATAGTCAACCACTCACTCATTGATCAGGCACCCTCATTCATCATTAGACACAGGCTAAATGGAAGCAACTATCTCCAATGGTATCATTGGTCTTGATGTTCATCCGAAGGAAGGGCAGAGAAAAATATCTCACTGACGAACTCGTTTCACCTCAAGCCAATAACCTAAGAGCTCGTGCGTGGAAAGTCAAAAATAATCTCGTTATGTCATGACTGGCAAACTCCATGACAAATGAGATTGGAGAAAATTTTTTGTTGTATGAAACCACGCATGACATTTGGATTGCCATGCGCGAATTCTACTCCAACTGTGATAACGCATAAGCAATCTTTGAAATAGAGACTCATCTTCACAACCTACGACAAGGGGAGCTTTCCGTAACTCAGTACTACAACGCTCTCACCCGTAACTGGCAACAGCTCAATGTCTTTAAAGAATACCAGTGGAGTTGCCCCGATGACGCAAAAATGTTCAAATCCATCACCGAATGTAAATGAATCTTCAAATTCTTAATAAGTCTCAATAAGAATTTGGATGAAGTCCATGGACGTGTTCTGGATGCCAAACCGCTGCCAAGCCTCAGACAAGCATTTTCGAAAATCCGTCGTGAAGAGAACAGGAAGAAAATCATAATAGGTGAATGTCTCTTTGGCCCGAACTCAGCGGAGACTAGTTCGGCTCTTGCTGCCCAGAAGAAAGCCCTACTAGGCGAATCCTAGTTTAGTGCTCACGCTTCCGAGATTGCCTCTGCCCTCACCAGTCGTGTTTCTAAAGGTCAAGGAAGAAAGGGTAGAACGTGGTGTGAATTTTGTAAAAAATCCGGTCATATCCGTGATAAATGCTGGAAGCTGCATGGTAAGCTTGGTGAGAAGAAAAACCTGAGAATAGAGACACATAATGGAAATTCGGTGATTAATGAAGAATCATCCCTTACTCTTACACCCACTGAAAATGCTCCTTTCAGTCCAGCTTAGATGGAGGCTCTCTTGTAAATGTTTTCACAAAAAGTGTCTTCTTGGTAATGCTTCCGTTGCTCAGAAAGAAAATTGCTTTCTTAGTTTATCTGCTTATTCCACAAAAAGGCAAGTATGGATTGTTGCTTCAGGGGTATCCGATCATATGACTAGAAATATTTCACTCCATCAATATAGTGAATGTAAGGAAGTACCCTTCATTAAGATTGCTAATGGAACGAGTTCTAGGGTGGTAGGAGTTGGTTCAACCTATATATCACCGTGCTTGATACTACATTCCATCCTCTATGTGCCTAATTTGGATTGTAATTTGTTATCTGTAAGCAAATTGTGTAAAGATTTGAATTGTGTGGTTAAATTTGACAATAATTTCTGTGCTCTTCAGGACTTAGCCTCGGAGAAGATGATTGGCAGTGCTATGAAGGACTCAGGACTATACCTTCTACCAGTCACAACTTTTTTTTCAAATGGACAAACTTTGAGTACAGTATGTGCTAATTCAATTTCTGTAGGATGTTCTAATATTGAACACTCTATTATATTATGAAATTATAGATTAGAACACTCAAACTTTATGTACTTAAAATAACTATTTTTAGTTTTATTCAGAAATAAAAATTCAAGTTCATTTTAGTGTGAAATATGTCAGTTTTCTAAACATACTCGCAATTCATATCCATAGGTACATATATACCTTCAAAACCTTTTACATTAATCATAATAATGTATGGGGATCAGCACGGGTAAAAAATATTACTGATACAAAATAGTTTGTCTTCTTCATTGATGATCACATTAGAATAATTTGGGTCTATCTTATGAAAGAAAAATAAAAGATTGACCAAATCTTTTAAAAATTCAACATTATGATTCAAATCCAATTTCAGATAACAATACAAATGTTGAAAACTGACAATGCATGTGAATACTTTGAGTCCAACTTAGAAAAATACCTCACTGATTAAGGCATTGCACATCAAAGTTCTTGTGTGTACACCCCATAATAAAATGATGTAGTCGAAAGAAAAAATAAACATATTCTTGAAATATCTCGATCACTTATGTTTACTACAAATGTTCCTAAATTTTTTTGGAGAGAGACTATTCTCACTGCTACCTACCTAATCAATATGATACTTTTCCGTATTTTAAATTCAGAACACCCTACGATTCACTCGTTTAAGCATTCCCAAACTCTCACATCTTACACACAATCCCATTTAAAGTATTTGGCTGCCCTGCTTATGTACACATTCATACCAATCTCAGGGAGAACCTAGACCCAAAGGCCCTTAAATATATGTTTGTTGGCTATTTCTTTAATCAGAAAGATAACAAATACTTTTGTCCAGCTACCCGTCGGTTCTATAATACTATAGATGTCACATTTTTTGAAAATCAATTATTTTATCTCACTCTTGATATTCAGGGGAAGAATTTTACTCAGAAATATCAATTGTGGGATGTGAACATCCCTCCACTACATATCCGTTGACAATATCAGAAAAAGAAATCGTCCCTAAAACTACCAAAGAGTCTGAACTTGTCATAGAAACTGATAGCACATTACCTGCAGTGAGTAAGTTATGTGTCTATACTAGGAGGAACAAGACTCAGGGTGGTGGTAAAGTATTTGAAATAATTATGCACTGTCATGAATCAACTCTTGGACCAAGCACCCAGAATATCGCAAGTAATAAAATCTCTAACTCAACTACTAACATTGAATTGCCTATTGCTTTATGAAAAAGTGTTCGTTCTTGCACAATACATCCCATATAGGATTATGTCTCATATGACAAACTGTCTTCAAAGTATCATGCTTTTATGAGTAAGTTTGATAGTAGCTTCTCAGAACCGAACAATTCATGAAGCTCTAAAAATTCTTGAGTAGAATGTTGCTATCCAAGAAGAAATTACAACACTTGAAAAGAATGGAACATGGGAGTTAACTAATCTGCCTTAAAAAAAAACTCCAGTAGGATACAAGTGGATTTTCACCACTAAATACAATCTTGATAGTAATGTGAATCGATATAAAGCACGATTTGTTGCTAAAGGTTTCACTCAGTCATATGGAATTGATTATCAAGAGACATTTGTTCCAGTTGTCAAGCATAATATTATTCGGGTACTATTCTCATTAGCCTCTAATTTTAATTGACATCTTTATCAACTAGATGTGAAGAATATTTTTCTCAATGGTGATCTAGAAGAAGAGGTGTATAAGAAAGTCCTACTTGGACTTGAAATGAATCCACAAAAGATATATAAACTAAATAATTTATGGACTCAAACAATTACCGAGGGCATGGTTTGACAGATTCACCAAGACAGTGAAACATATGAGATATGAATAGTGTCAGTCTGATCACACATTATTTGTCAAACACTATATCACAGAAAAGAGAGCTATACTGATTGTATATATTGATGATATTATCATAACAGTTGATCATAATGAATAGATTCAAAAACTAAAAGAATTTCTAGCTAAAGAGTTTGAAATCAAAAACATTGGGATACTCAAGTATTTTTTTGGAATGCAAATAGCTCGGTTCAAGAAAGAAATTTCTATATCTCAGTGGGAATATATCTTAGGTCTTCTGAACTAAACTGATATGCTTAGTTGTAAACCCGCAGAAACTCCTATGGAGTCAAATGCTAAAGTTAGTTTTACAAATGATAATAAATCTGTTGATAAAGAAATGTATCAGAGACTTGTTGTAACACCCGGAAAATATGGAAAAAAAATTGATTATTTTATTTTAAATATTTTAATTAGGTTTTAAAAAAAAAATGCCACGTCAGCAGCCACGTCAGCAGTCCTGGCCAACCAGGACCTGCCACGTGGCAAAACCACGTCGACCGGGGACGTGCCACGTTGGCGATCCGCGTACGCGCGATCGGACGGCCCAGATCAAGCGTGCGCACGGACGACCCAGATGCAATCGCACGGACGACCCAGATTCAATCAAAAACGGACGGCCCAGATTAAATCAAAATGGACGGCTGAGATCAAAAGGTAAAAGGGTATAAATAGAACCCCCACACCTGACCGCAAAAACCCTAGCCGCCTGCCCTCGTCGGAGAAGACGAACCAGATGCCGGAGACGCCGGCCGCCGCCACCCGTCGCCGCACCGGGGAGATTTTCGACCGCCGATCGAGGTAAATTTCATACCCCCGACTCGTTTTTCCACGCTGATTTCCCCGGTGGCCAAATCGGAGCGAAAATTTCGGCCAAACGGCCGGAAAATACGGCCGAAACCCAGCGGTGCCGCAGCGCCCCTCCTCGGTTTTTGCCTCCGATGAGGCCCTTCCCGGCCTCCGTTTGATGCAATTTTTATATCACCGTGATCACCATTCTTTTCTCTACAGGTTGATCGGAGCCGAATCACCAAAACACGAACCTCACCGGAGAGCCGCTGCACCCGAGAGCACCGCCGCCGGTAAGCTTCGATTTTCCGTAATTTTTTGGCCCCCCGAGGGCCCTAGGGTTGTTTTATCCAAGGACCGATGCAAGTGTGGTCGAATTGGGCCGGAAACGGCCAAATCGAGGCGAATCGCCGCCGCTTGCGGCGGCGCCGTCGCCGGAGCACGGCGGAGCTGCCATGCCGGAATTACGATATTGGCCAAAAAGGGGCCCTGGTCCTAATTTGGGATTTTTTTGGAACACATGCAGGTACCAGTAGTGCGTTTCAGTTCCCCGAAAAAAAATCAGGGAAAGTTGGGGACAGCCTGTAGGCGCACTGTGAAGCCGTGTTCGGACCCTGAAACGAGTAAGGACCCCTCACCCTATTTCCTATCACGGTATTAAAGTTCAATAATGATAAAACGGTATTTCTTAAATCAACGAATGTGTGAAATTACTTAAGGTCGCTAATGGAGCCCGAGTCTAGTGTGTTTGTCGGTTAACTGTTAATTGGCCTATTTTACAGTTTCAAATGCAGTATGAGGTTTGATGTTTTCTTTTTATAGTTTCGTGTGCATATTTTACTATTTTATTGATTATGGATTGAATGACTGAGATATTGATGCTGTATGTTGCCTGTTTGGCATAAATTACTGTTTTGTTTGTTTGTATGTGAATTGATGATGCTGACTGAGGAAAAGGGGAATGAAAGATTATGTAAATTGGTAATTGTATAATGTGGTCAGCCTGACTAGATATCCTGGGAGATGGTGGACGGACCGGGTCCGTAGGGAACCCTACCGGGATTGTGGTCTCTCATACCGGACGGGGTATGAAGACCTTATGTGTTTTGGCGCCCATACCGGACGGGGTATGGGGACGGCCCGTTTCACCATCATACCGGACGGGGTAATGGGGTTTATAGTTTTGGCGCCCATACCGGACGGGATATGGGGACGGCCCTGGAATCTGATTTCAAGTGTTAAGGGTTAACGGGTAACGGGACCCCTATGGATCCCCATGGATACTAGTGGGCTGGTAAATGAGGAAAATCTGTTGTGTAATGATTGAATTACAAAAGGCGTGATAAGTATTATGTTATACAGTTTATATATGATTTCATGATGATGATAATGTTATTGCTTTCGCATACTGTTTTATGAATTTCACCGAGGTAAGTGGATGGTAAAGGATTTATTATTGATAAAAGAATTTGTTGTAAATTATGCTCCATTGGTCTTTTTGTGTTTTCTACCCACCTTTACCTCCGTGACGGTGAGATATCGTGATGTCCTTACTGGGCTAGTGTAGCTCATTCCTTATTTAATCATTTCAGATCAGGAAGACATTGTTCCCGAACCCGTTCCGCAGGAGGACGATGAAGGGGACGCCTAAAGACTCCATATTCATATTCGTAGCTTTTACTTTCAAGTTTCTCCTTTAGGTAGTTTAATCTTTTATATTTTGTGAGCACGTTTTTTATTTTAGTGTAAGGGATGTTAATCGAATTTTTGACTTCGTTTCCGCATTTGATATTTTTAATACACATTTTATTTTGGAATTTCTGGGGTCGTTATACTTGTAGACAAGCTTATCTACTTGGCTCACACAAGACCTGACATTTACTTTGTAGTAAGCACTTTGAGTTAGTTCATGTTTCAACTTACTGAGGAGTATATGAGCGTTGTCTATCGAATTTTGAGATGCCTAAAGATGACACATAAATATGGATTATTTTTTTAGAAGACTATAGCCAGAAAAATTGAGATCTTTACTGATGCAGATTGGGCAGGATCTGTAATTGATAAGAGATCCACATTCGGTTATTGCTCATATGTATGGGGTAATTTAGTCACTTGGCGTAACAAGAAATAATCTATTGTATCAAGAAGCAGTGCTGAAGCTGAGTTATGCTCACTTGCTCATGAAATATGTGAATGAGTGTGGCTGAAAAAGATATTACTAGAATTAAGATTTTCTGCTCCTACTACTATGAGAATTTGTTGTGACAATTAATTGGCTATTAGTATAGCCAAGAATCCTATGCACCACGACAAAACTAAACATGTTGAGATCGACCGCTACTTCATCAAACAACATACATCCCAACCAGACAACAAACAACAAACATACTCATAAAAGCACTACCAAAAATGGAGTTCAATAATTTTGTATTCAATTTAAGATTACTCAATATTTTTGTAACTTACGTTGAGGAAAAGTGTAGAATGTATATATATTTACATATATAGATAAATAAGGGGTAATTTAGTATTTTCTAGTTTTTTTTCTTTTTTGGTTGTTATGACAGTTGGGCATGCCCTCAACCTTAACAACCAATTTTTCTCTTCTTCCACTTACTTGTTAGAATATTTTGTAACCTCTTTTGTCAGGGTTAGTGCCTATATAATAGCACTATTTGTACCCGAAAAAATTAAGGAAAATAGTGAAAGGAATTCTCCTTTTCACTTTGTTCAAATTCTTATTCTTTCATTTCTTCATATTTAATGCTCCTCCTTGCGTCAGTAGGTGCAAATTCTAAGTTCCTCTCTTTGAAATTCAAACTTACTTCTTAGAAGAGCTTTGGTAAAAAATATCTGCAAGTTGATTTCCGATCTTTCAATACTTCAAACATACTACACCATCTTTTTGAACATCTCTAATAATAGCAATTTTATACTGAAATGCTTGGTTTTTCTATGAAAAATTGGATTATTAGATATGGCTATGGCTGCCTAGTTGTCTACCAACAGCTCTGTACTCTTCTCTTTCTCCAAGTGCAAACCAATTAAAATATTTCTCAGCCATAAGGCATGATTACCGACTACTATAGCTACTATAAAATCTGATTCAGTTGTTGATTGTGCAACAATTTTCTATTTTTTCAAACACCAACTGAATATCCCTAATACAAAGTTGAAACAATAACCTGAGTTACTTTTTATATCATCTAAGGACTCTGCCCAACCATTATCAGAGTAACCAGCAATTGAAAAGTTTGTGATGAACAGAACGTGATACCATAACTGAAGGTCCCCTTAATATACCTCAGGACTCTTGTTGCTGATTTAAAATAAAATTCATTTGCACAATTCATGAATCTTGAAAGTACACTTACAAGATATTTGGTCTTGTTGCCGCGAGATACATCAAACAGCTAATTAAACTTCTTTTCAGTGTTTTATCCACTTGTTCTGCTCCATTATCCTTGTATAGCTTCTCCTTTTGACATATAGGATTTCTCATACTTTTGTAGTTCTCCATGTTGAAATTCTTTAGAATCTTCTTTGCGTACTTCCTCTAATAGATGAAAATCTCATCCTTTTTATGCTTAATTTCCATTATAAGGAAATAAGACAATTCTTTTAGGTTTGTCATTTCAAAGACTTGCATCATCTCTTTCTTGAATTGCTGAATAAGTTCAATATTACTACCTCTAACCAAGAGATCATCATCATATAAGGAGATCATTGTAAAGTTATCTTCATTATTTTTGATATACAAACTGGATTCACCAAGACTTTTAACAAAGTCTAGTTTCAGTAAGTGCCACCAATCCTGCTGTACCATACTCTTTGGGCCTGTTTTAGACCATACAAAGCCACCTTCATAAGATAAACCTTGTTGTTATGTTGTTTCACAGCAAAGCCTTTAGGTTGCTAGACATTGATTGCTTCCTCCAAAAATCCATTTAAAAACAGTGGCTTGACATCAAGTTGGTAGATTTTCCATCCCTCCTCTGTTGCAATGGTTAGCAGACTCTGATGGTATCTAGCCTTGCAAAAGGAACAAATGTGTCAAGACTCTACTTCATAAACTTCCTGTCATCAAACCTGACCTGTTCAGGACATAATTTTTTTGTAAAAAGTTGTGTTGGACCGCATTCGATTTCTGCAAATTAATCAAATCCAATCCAGTCTTGCCATCCCTAGCATTGACAATCGGATGCTTGCTTTTTATTTGCATTTGGACATAATAAATTTTGAAAAATAAACAAAAATAAAAAAATAGTACATCTTCACCGGCCATGGGCCCTAATAAATATAATACATAAGCCACCATGGCAGTTAACAGGGCTATTTAAATTGATTACAGAGAATAAGATAATGATAATGAATAAACGAATCGAATGTAATTATGGGATTTTATCGTCTATCATGTACAAAACAATTAACTAGCAGCTAATTTCTTCTACCCACTCGTTGGCGTGCTACCAGATCAAACTCTACAACAACATTTACATGTACGAAAACCTACTGCTAAATGTCATATCATATAGAAACAACCCACTAAACAAAACAAATAGACTTCTGCATAAATTATTCTTGTCTCCTTTCTCGCCTTTAACTGGAAAGAGATCACACTCCTTTACCATGAACTCATCCAATTTCTGCAGGTATCTTCCTCTTCTCACTTTCAGTAGTAAAATGTAGGTAAATTGGCAATCAGAAAGAGCTAACAATTCCAGTTGTATTTGAACACATACATGAGCAGTCTGGTTCAGTCATCTCCCTTTTCACAAGCCTTTTGTCACGATTAATCATCAGTTTGATAAGAGGCAGCTTCTGGGAGACTTGGCGCCAGATTTCATTCACTGTTCCATTAGGATTCGTATAGTCGTAGTATCGCCTCACCTGGAACAAAAAGGTATATAGGAATATCATTCAGTTGATGAATTTCTTTTGATGATAACAATAAGAAAAAAAAAATTGAGAAACAGAGAAACAACTAGACCAAAACATAAAATAAACTCATTCAAATTGGGAACTATAACCCTATGAACACGTATGAAAATAGATCATAATAATAGATGAAAGCCTGGAAGACCTAGTAGCTGCATAAATCCATTACACACTTTCCTTAATTGGTAACTTAAAAATTTATATGTTGAGCCATCTCATGGACTTTAAAAGCCTAATGGACTCCCGAACATAATGACATGCCCCTTGCCAGCACCCATTCTCCACCAATGCCTCCCATACTCTTTTTTGGGCGAATCATAATATACTATTCAAACAAGAAAGAATCATGCCACTTACTAGCAATTAAGTTCGTGTTTATCATTAAGCTCAGTTGAATTTCTAAAAAAACAGACTTTAAAGAAAATGTTGAACCACATGAAATCCGGAAGAAATTCTGCCACCTAAGACTTTGTCTCTAAGGTCCGTTAAACATGGACATCAAATATACTGACCATGGGAAACCAAAGCCATTCTGACTGGTTAAACCAGGTATGAACACTAATCTGACATTGAACTCAGTCAAACACAGCACTAGAATATATATATATATACAGCCCTAAGATAGCGACAAGAAAATTCTTAGTGACACTGACCATGGGAAGTTGACACATTCATATAATAAATAAAATTCTTAGTGACTTGAAATTAAATTAAGCACATGATGAGTAAGAAAATAAGCATTTTCTTCCTGTGCGCATTCCCGGACACATCTTAGATGCACAGATATGCACATGCAGATCACCAAAACAACTAATGAAAATGCATTTAAGAAGCTGAAAATGCCTAATACGCTATTACTTCTTCTTTTTTTCCTGAAATTGTTTATATAGAAAGTGCCAGATATTTAGGGTGATAAGATTTAGAATATTCAAAGATCCAAACTGGGATCAGGCAATTTCTATTTGGAATTGGACATAAATAGGAAATTTAACAGGCTAAGTTATAACTTACGCAATCTGTTCCTGTTTTTTGGTGTTTTTATAGCAGACTCCAAGGCAAAAGGCTAGTTACAACGCAAAACCCCACATTCGAAGAACCTACAGGCTCTTCCTAATTTGCTAAAGATGCCTGCTAAGCCAAAAGTCAAACAATTTATCTTTGGAAATAGCTAAAAAAGATTCTACTGCATCAAAACTCCTTATATTTCCCTTCTTCCATACCATCTAAAGTCCTACTATTCCCCTCCTTCCAAACCATAAAGTAATTTTTTTTTGGAATAAAAGCGACGAGTTGTATTAATGTTAGAGTGCCAAGAGGGCACAACCCATTTACAATGTATTTACAAGTCAATTAAATTATCGACAATAAAACCAAGATTATCAGAACAATTGATGTTATGACTCAAAATAGTAGAACCAAAATAATGAAACCAACAATCAGTGAGTTTATTAAAATCAAGTTGTATTCTTTCAAAAGCGCAATTATTTCTCTCTTTCCAAAGGACCCATATTATGGTGGGTGGAATTAATCTTAACATTTTCCTCTTGCTGCTGAAGCCTTCCCATGCTGGGAGTTCAGCATGAATGTTGTTGTTCATGACCCAAAACAGCCCCATAAGACTAATAATGGTGTTCTGTAAGTGCTGTGAAACCAAACAGCCTAAAAGCAAGTGGTTACAGGTTTCAAAATTGTTTTTACATAGGAAACATCTATTGACGATCATGAAACCTCTTTTCATTAGGTTGTCAAACCATAAAGTATTAAAAGGGCCACAGCATTGTGAGGTCACAGCACATTATGCTTAGAAAATAAATTTATCTTCTTCCAAATCTCTTGAATTTTAAGAGCTGATTCTTAGTCGTAGCAACATTTTCCGTTCCCTCTAGGTAGGAAAAAATGCACAGGAACATTTCATATTTACTTAAGAAAGTTATTTAAAAAAAAAAAATATTTAGTTAAGAAAGTAGAATCTTTTGTCTGATAGAGACATAACAAATGATAAAATTTCAAGGATAATTCCCAATTTAGCTTCCATTGCAGAGTAATCTTCCTTCGTCACCTATTAATTTATTCCTAAATCTCATATATAGAACATCATATATAGCGAAGCCAAGAATAGCACATTAAGTTGGAAGTAAAAATATGAGAAAATTTTACTCACCTCAGTCATTTGTTTCTGATATTCTATAATCCTTTTGGGTGACACTTTCCTCAGCATCTTAACCAAACATCCTGGCTCTAGAGCAGCATCAGTATGCACAAATATTGAAAACTTCCTGTAGTCTATAACATCTTCAAAAGGCAACTCAATACTATCACTCACTATCACTGGGACACACAAGCTAACTATGGAATCAAAGAGTCTGCAAGCTGATGGAGTATCACCAGCAGGATTCAAACAAAATTTTGATGTGTGCATTCCTTTAGAAGCAGCACGGCGGTTCTCTCTGGACTGAGTTCCATGTTTTATAACAACATCCTCTTCACTTTCAAGTACTTGGAAAAGCAAATCTCGGACTTTGCCTCCCTAAGAATACAAACACAAGAATGAAAGACAAGAAAAGATTGTCAGCACATGAACTTTTTCATAGCAATGTAAGTAGAAGCATACAAGAAAACCCTTTCAAAATCCTTCAAACTCAACCATCAACAACATGATACGTTTAATTGTTCTACAACAACTAGAAACATATAAAATTGAAGACAAAAACTTTGTGTCGAACTTATTGGAAGCTAATGAAGGAATGATGATTAAAGATAGAACGATTAAGAAAAGATGAAAACTTCCTCTGAGATGACAAGGAAGTCTTCTAAGTGGCAGTATAATTCTTTGAGAATTTTACAAGAAATGACAGCAAAGGAATCTCTTACATCTTTGCGATACCGGTTTCCCATGAAAAATAACAGGGTGTCCCGATTTTCAACCCCGAGTTCACCAGTGTAGGCGCTGATTCGGTGTGAGTAGGGAATAATCACATCCTTCACGAGAGACCCCTGGTCCGGTCTCAATCTCCCAAAATCCGCCACGAGCAACACAGCATTTTTTACCCGATCCACGACCCGATACATTGCATTGGGATCGCCGGCAATGATCACATGGTCCCATCCGTTGTTCCGTCCCCACCATTGTTGCTTTTCCAACCACTCCACCAGGCTATCCTGCATCTCCTCGTCGCTGTAACCAGACCCTGCGGGTCGACCCGCATTAACGATCAGACTCAGCGAAGAGAACACCGGGACGTAAAACAGATCAGCCTCCGAAGGATCCATGACTCTTATCACAGGAGACCCGACCCGCTCTTTTTCGGGTCTGTTTAGGTCCGCGAACAGGTACCACTCATGCATGTGCTGGTGACCCGGGTACTTCAACGTCGACAAGTCAGCAACGGAGTCTTTGCTGGCGCCACGAGCTATGGCGTGCTGCTGGATGATGCCGAAAGTGAACCTGGTGGGGAGATCGTACATGTAGACTTTCACTTTGGGTGATTGGTTTCCGGAAAAATCATGTCGGATTTCCGCGAAAGCCTGTGAGCGATCTACCACAGTGAGGGTTGGGTCGAAGTCTGGGATATTAAAAGGAAGAGAAGAGTTGAAGACAGAGTTGAAGAAGACATAGATCGCAACGATGAAGAGTAGGACAAAAATCAGGGCCTTCTTGAGGAAAGATGACTTGCGCGCCATGTGGGTAATTAGGGTTTGCAAATTGAGTGCATCCGGTGATTTGGGTTTCCTGGGTTTGGGTTTTGAATTTGATCTGTCACTGATTTGAGCTGGTATCGTTATTTTCTCCTTTGTTTCCGGTGGAGGGGTCATGCTACTGCGCAGTAAACCCTAGTCGAAGGATGAAGATAAAAAGGACGATTCAAATATTTGTTTTCAAGAACATTCAATCGTATTGTATATGATAATCACCATTGATATCTGCGCCAATTGTTTGTAGTAATATTACATCAATTTGTCTATTTCAAATCGTTTTAGGAGTCTTAAGGTATGAATCTCGATTTCTATTTTGAGATGATAAACAAAAAAACGTTTTTGATAATGAATGTTTCTTCGACGTTGACTTATAATATTACAAATTATAAGGCACATATTATTTGTATTTTTTTCATTTAAAACTTTTTTTTTTTTTTTTTTTGTCTATTTAAATTTTTAACAAATTTACGGATATTTATTAACTATTAACTTGAAGTTACGATGTATACAAAAATGTGACAAGAAGAATGTTACGTAAGTGCCACGTGTCACACACACACGTAACATATATATTATTTTAATTTTATTCGTCTTCCTAACATCCCTCTCTCTCTCTTTCTCTCCTCCTCTTATTAATCACTCCCTTTGTGAAAAAGGGAGAAAAAAATTGCTATACTAATATAGATTTTTTTCAAAAACACAAAGGTCACCCAAATCAAAATTGTAAGAGAAATTTATGATGCCTACAACTAGGAATCTTAAAGCAAAAGAATTTAAATTTCAAAATTTTGGAATTTTTTTTTTTTATTTTATGATTGAATGTGAAACTTTTAAGATTTATACCATTACGTATATTGAGACAAATTTAATAAAACAAGTGACATTTGATGATGGTCTTACAAGATCTTCTATTAGCATTAATATAATGCAAACATGGGACTTTTAGATAAAATTGGAGCTTAAAAATTTAGGATATCAAAATCGAGAAAATTTTAAATTTAAATTTAAATTTAAATTTAAATATAGAAATCTAAAAACAAATCACAGTCTTATCATAATTGTTTCATTTTTAAATATTAAAAAAAAAAATAATCAAAACTTAAAAGAATATCATCTAGAGATCGAAACCGAACCACCACCACAATTTTGGTGACAAATGAAGGCCTCAACAATAACTTGTGAAGGACACACACTAAGCAAGGTGTGTTTGTCAGTGTGTTTGTTGTTACCAGAACGATAACTCTTCATCCTTTGCTCAAACACATAGATTGGAGCTAGCACCGTGTATAAGTTGGAATTTCTTCTTTTTAAGCTTTTTTTTTTTTTTTATTTTTTTAATGTTTGTCTCCTATTTTTTCCTTCAATTTTACTCCTCGTTGTTCCTTAAACAATTTCCTGTTGATGCTGACAATTTCATATCTAATCAGAATTGTATTTTCTTTAACTACATAAAATACTCCATAATGTTTCAATTAACAATTTAAATGATTAATTTAGACAAATATGAATTAATTTGATGTCTAACCAATTTTCATGAGAAAAAAAATATTTAATTAATTATGTAATACGTAAATATTTAATTATGATGCAATCTCTTAACAATTTAACTTTTTATAAAAAAAACCAACTTACCAATCATTTAATTAATAGATAATTTAATCTTCATTAAATTTATCAATATAAAAAATTATTTTATCCTCAAGTATTCTTTATGTATTATAAATCCATGAGTAGTGTTTGATGCGAGTAAATTCTTGAGACTAAGCGCTAAAAAAATTGTTGTCTTATCTTCATTACTAAAGAACAAAAAGGGAACAAATATGGAAAAAAAGACAAAACAAAGCAAAAAGAGGAACAATTTTGTTCCTTGCTTTTGGCGGATTTATTGCGATAAGCAGCGATTCAAGTATAAATATCAGAATTTCTTGTCTTTCTAACAACAAAAACATCCATTAATTTTATCGCCAATTATACAGCTCTATACTGAAAATGGCAATTACAAAAAATTTAACAACGTTTGCTTCTAATTTGGGTAAAATAGATGTTGAACTGAACTGAACTGAACTGAAAGAAAGAAAAAAGGTGCATAGAGGGAAATTTTTGTTCCAGAACCTTAACCAGGTGGCCATTTCATCTGCCGTCTGCCGAGAACATGCAAATGGAGGTGGTAAACAGATTGACCTACCGAGATGTGAAAAAGCAAGAAGGTTGTTAATGGGGAAACAATCAAAACAGAAACGAGAAGAATTAGAGAAAACAAAAGAACTTACAGGCATCAGGACCATTGTTAATGACAATACGAAATCCTTCAGTGATACCTTCTTTCTCAGCCACTATTTTGGTGGCATAAAGAAGTTGACCCAGTATCTCACTATGTCTAGCTTCAGCCTGATAGGAAAGAACAGGAAATTAATATAAGCATTTAGTACGTTAACAAATTGCATGATATGGAAGAATATGGAATTAACATAGGCATTCAGTATTGTTAACATATTGCATGCATGATTAAAGCAATCATAGAGTAACTGTAGCAGTCACAAGATGATTTTGTGATTTCACGATCATAGGCTGATTATACCTATTTCAAATATATTCTTCAATATATAGGGATGTACAAACAACTCTATGAATATGTAATCCGTAAATATAATTCTCCATGTTATTCTTATTTCAAGTTGATATAAGACTTGCTTCCTGGGTGATCACTGTCACCACCACCTCTTGCTGCTGACAGGTCTCCTACAATTTCTCATATAAAAAAGCTTTTCCTAATGAACACACTGACCCTATGTTTCACATCATAGCAGCTGTTATTCCTTCCATTTACTGAAAAACCCATCAGTTGTGGTGTTTCCTTATCAAGAAATCATTTTATGTAACAAGCAGACACTACATGGTATTATCTTTCTATTAATAACTTGCAAAAATTGAAGTTCACCAATAAAATTCATAGTAAAATTTTTATCAAGTTATCAACAAAAATATGATACAATATTAACATGTAGCCATCATACAAAATAATTTCTTTTCCCAATCATAGTTTTGGCCATATCACTATTGCTAACACGATGAGTCAAAAGACTGGTTTGGCAACTCAATCTCAACCCATGACCCAAAAAGTATTCGCATATCATTGTTTATGTCAACAAGACACATTAGCCTCACATTGGTAAACACGACATTATCTTCACATTGGTAAACACGACATTATCTCTGTTATCTCTGTGCTGATATCATAACTTACATCAACACACCATGTTTACTGATATCATTAACCACATTAGTGCACCACTTAATACGTTGACTGGACAATTCAAATCATAAGATGGCCTGTTTAAATGGCCTGTTTAGCACTTTCAAACTTTGTTTCTATTGGATCAAACTGGTTCCCTGAGAATTATACTCTCCCAATTTAAGTAACACCACCAGAACAACATGTTGACACGTATTCTTAGGCCGACCTTGACTTTATGATAGACATGTTTAGCATTATGAGAGTACCAATACTTATCATTTTATTCTTGGTAAGAAGAATGTAATTTTGAAACCTTTACCTACAGCAGATATGCGTAAATATCAATGTCCACAAGAGCCAGATCCCTGATAGCACTCGATATCTACAACAGAATTACCTCCATCTTCAATTGAGACCATAAACAACTTTGCCTCAATTGAAAAAAGGAACCTAAAACTACCTCCATGATCAGAAGATAAAACTATTTAACAAAGTCCAGAGGCTTCTCCTCCACTCTAGTGCCCAATTGGTTCGTTTCTTTAGTCAAGGTACGGCAAAAATGGAGATGAAGAAACATTCTGGTTTTTCCCAATCTAATTTTGCATTACAAGGTCCTGTTATCAGATCTAGGGGACAATAGCATACCATATAACAGATTACTTAATCAGTGGACTGATATGCCAATTTAAATTGTATAGATGAATTGGAGTTTATCATTAATTGGAGAAGAATCATGTGAATCAATTGCAAATAGTACAAAACTTAATTTATTCTAATAGTATGGAATACTAGGTCAAATCTAACTTGATTGGATCCAAATTAAATCATGAGTATAAATCCAAACTTGAAATTTTAAAAATTATTTTCCATATAATAAGATGAGAAAAATGAGGATAAATATTAGGTGTCTGAACAAGAGG